CCCCAAAACCCCAAAACCCCAAAACCCCAAAACCCCAAAACCCCAAAACCCCGTATGTTTATTGTGTTATTGAAGTAATTTTTTAGTTTTGAAGTAATGAGTGAAGGTTTTAGTTATAAAAATGTTCCTTAAGCGGAATTACTTTGAACTCTATGCTATTTATTAAAACAATCAAATATTTTGATCCATACTTTCTTTTAATCTTTGATTAATATTCCCAGGATTTAACCTTAACCACTCCTCAACCAACTTTAACCCAACCCAACCTAGTATAAGCTTTCCATTCCGTTATTTTACTTTACTAAACTTAATTTTTATTTCATTAATATCTCTTAAAAATCAAGGTGTAGTCGCTTTTGTATGAGTCCCAATACTGTGTTCTTTCATCAAAATAATCGTCATTAATAAACTTCCAGTTTCCATTCTTTTTTGTGAATGCAACATAATGTCCTGAATCAAGACTGTCCCCATCATGGCTTACAATTCCAAGAATTCCATAGCTAAGGGTCTTATTTCTAAAATTAGGGTCCTTCAACTCAAAGTTATGTTTATATTTCATAAAATCACAAATCTTCTTATTTGTCATTGGGTCTGTTCTTTGGTATACCAAAGCATAATATTTAGGATGCATTACAGTCTTTTTTCTGATAGTGCATTTCGCAACATTATTGCATTTTCTTCAGTAAAATTCAGAATATTGGGTGATATAATCCGATTTCATAAAATTGTTGAATCCCCTATCAGGATATCTTGTATTTCATTCAAGACCGACATTCCCAAATGGCTCATATGTAAATGTATATTTAGAACATTCCTTTCATATGTAACTGATCATATACAATCCTGTAAAGAGTTGATCAATGATTGAATAATTTTCTTCTTCATACTTTGCTACAGCTTCTTCTTTATTTGTGTAGCCTGAGTTTTTAAATGGCTCCGCCGTTGGATTGAGTTCACTCTTCAATTTATCAAGCATATTAGATAAAAACTGAGAAGAATCATGCTGATATTCAGGATCAAAATCTTCTTCAAATAGTTCCTTAAAATAAGTAATATCTATCTTCTCCTCATCCTTATCAAAATAATCAAAGATCATCTTGCGTGTTGCTCTACAAAACGGGAACTTATCAGCATACTCGATCTTTCCACTGATCGAATCCTTCTTCTCTTCAGGCTTATCCCACTCCTTATGCTCTTGAGTAAAATATTGAACAAACTCTGGAATAGCCATCAGGCACTGAAGTATGGCATTCATGTAGCAGTAAAGCTTCTCATTGGTAATGCCTTTCCACGTTGTCAGGATTTCTTCCTTGCTAATTACAGTTGTGTTCTTGGGGTATTGTTGGTAAAGCTTCCTTTTCCAGCTCCTAAGAGCTTTCTTTGGGCAAGGCTTGGATTTAGGTGAAGTTTTAGAGGGATTTAAGTTGAGGAAGCCAACAGGTCTGGAAGAAAATTCCTGTTCTTCTTTTGGAAGTGGAGTTGGGTCTAGGATAACAGAAGTTCTGGTAATGCTGTATCTTTTTTGTTCTGAGAGAGGCTTAGAGGAATATGGTTGTTTTGTTTTGGGTTGTTGAGAATCTTGAGGAGGAAAATTGTATGAGTTTAAATTTTTTCTGTCATGATGAGAGCAATTTGTTTCATATGAGTCTTTTGTGTTATGTCTTGATAGAGGTACTCCTTTTTTAACAATATTAGCTTGAATTTCATACCTTCTTTTTTCATCAAAATTTTTCTCTTGTTTAGATTTTTCATTTGTTATCAATTCCTTACTAATATAATACTCTTGATATTTCTTCTTTCCATTATCTTCCTTTTCCTTACTTTCATCACTATTATTCACTAATTTTTGCTGCATATCACTCTCTCCATCAGATTTATCTGTCTTATTCAATATATCTTTTCCATTCTCCTCTCCAGTCAATCTTTGTTCCTGAGCCTTCTCAGTATTATCAAGCTTCGTTTCATCAAGCTTCTTATCTTTCTCCAAGTTCTGTTCAGGTTTCATATTAAAATCTTGGCTTTGGTCTTCTCCTATAGGTTGAGAATTAATACCAATAGTAGTACCACTTAATAAAAGATTGTTTTGTTGAATGTTCTTCTTACTTGTAGTGAATTCTTTTCTATCATTTTCAACATGGTTAGACTCTTTATCCTCTCCTGAATCATCTTCAGAACTGGCATTAATTCCTAATTTATCATTCTGCAGAGATTGTTTATCAACCTGATCTAAATCTTTTTCTAGTACATCATCTTTTTCAAGATTTTGTAGAATATTAGCATTAGATTCATTTATGTTTGGCTCATTTACGATAACCTCCATGTCTCCAGAATCTTCTTCCTGTTCAGGGATAACTTCTTGAGATTCATCTTGATTTCCATTAACATCATCATTAATCTGATCTTCTGATGATTCTTCTTGTTTAGAGAAAGATTGATGATTCTGTTCAATATCATTTTTATCAATAGAGTCCCCAGGGTCAACTAAGTTATCAATATGGTCTTCTGAGTGATCTCGGGAGCCTTCTTCATCTTTCATAACATCATCACTATGAAACATTCCTTCCCTCATGTCCTCTTTCTCTTGACTCTCTTTCTCTTCTTTCTCACTAAGAGTCTGTCCAGTCTCTCCACTTTCGTCTTCCTCTTGATCACAAGGTTCCTCTTCTTCGCTTTCGTTTACACCTTTCTCGGCTTCAGTCTGGTCTTGCCCAGCTAAAGCTTGGATTTCTTCTTGAACTTCTTGGTCCTCTTCTCCACTTGGCTTAGCTTCATCTTCGGGGATGCTAGGGTCTTCAGTGGGGCCAGATGGTTGGTGGGGTTCTGAAGAGGGAAGTAGGGGAGGAGAAGTAGGGTCTGAGTTATGAGTAGGAGGTTGAGGGGTGGCAGTGGGGGTGGGAGAAGGGTTTGATGCGCTGTGGTCTTGTGCTGTCATGAGGTCTGACTCTTGGAGAGGATTAGAGTTTGTTTTATTGGATTCGGTAGATCCATTAATACAGCTTTCTTTTGTTTCTTCTTTGGACTCCAATAATTCAGTATTAATTCCTAAATTATCGGTTTTAGGCTCAGAGATTTGAACTGGGGCTGTGGGAGCGGTGCTAGGGTCTTCGTTTCTTGGAGAATCTTCTAAGTCACCAGTATTCTGAGAACCAGCAGAGTTTTCCATGTCACTTCCTGGGTTTGTGTCGCTGTTCTCTTGTTCATTTTTGATCAATTCTTGCTGATCGTCTCATGCAACTCTTTCGGAAATATCTCTAAGCTACATGTTGACACCAATAAATTACCGTATTAGAGTGCTGATTGATATCATTCCTTAAATGAAAATCATAAACTTTCTGTTTTACTGGATCTTCTTGAATTGATTTTGTCAAGTCTGTTATCTTTTGGTATATTTCTTCCAAACTAGCCTGATGACTTTGATCCTTTTGAGCCTTCCAACTCTTAAACAAATCATTTTCATGTTCAATAAGCTTTAGGTACTCTTGAATTCTTTCATCCTTTGCTTTTTCATATTCTTCAATTTGTTCTTTATGTTCTCTTTCTAGCTTCTTTCTCTGCTCATTTAGATCATTCAAAGCCATTAGGTTTCTGTCATCTAGGCTCTTCGTTTGAGTTAGGATAAGTTCCGTCAGAAGCTGCCGATCTTGTCAGTTCATTATTCTACAATTTAGAAAGTTAATTAATGACTCTATGTCTTCTGCCTTATATGGGGTTTTGGGGTTTTGGGGTTTTGGGGTTTTGGGG